AAATCATAATAAAATAATTTTTAATCAGTAATCTATTCAGAAAAATATTGCATGTACTGATAAATGATTTAAAATATTTAAATGAAAATTTAAAAAAAAATAATTTTTTATTTTATAATATCAAATAACATTGAAAAATGTAACTTGAAAAATGGAATTAATTTAGAAAGTGCTACTCAAATATTAATTTTTTCCCTTTCTTTTAAAATTATCTTTCTTGCTTTTAAAGAAACAAAATTGTGAATAATTTTCCGTCATTCCATTGCTGGCGAGGGTACAGATGGTTTTCAGCGTTTGCCAATGCGAAAAATCTTTACACTTTTACACAATTTTTACACTTTGATATCAGCAATAGTAATTAGCAACGAAAAAAAAAACTCATAACGCAATTTTTGAAATTAATTACTATTCAACTAAATTGTATTCGTCAATTATTATCTTCAAAGGATCTAATCGTGCTTTGGTAACTAGAATTATTAAAATGGGGTGTCTATTAAAAGTCGACATTTTGTTATAAAATGTCTCGAATTTAACATAGTTGGATACTTCCGACACTTTGCTTAATTTTTAATTTTTCAGTTGTGAAATTAAAGCTAGCTTTAATTGACAGAGCTCTGTCACTCCTTTTACTTCTACAATTAAGGAATAGTTTTCTCAAAAATTAGTTCTCTTATCCATTAATTCTTTGCAGTCTGATTTATTATTCTTTTTTAACTTTAATTTTTGTTTACCTTCAAATTGTGTTGATATTTTCATCTTTAAATCCAAATTTTCTTTTTCCTTGGAAATATTTTCTATCATTTTCTGTAAAGAAAGAAATAATCCTTCCATTACGCTTGCTTGTTTAATTCAAAGACGTTTTCAGCATAGAAGGAGATTGTATAAAGGAAGAAATGCATTCGGAGATAAATTCTAAGGGAAACAGGCTTGTATTTACATTGTAGATAGGTAAAGCTACAAAAACACTCTATGCAGCCAATCCATTCGTAACGATTCGAATCCATTGATTGCATATCCACCTCTCTATTTAGTGAACAGCTTTAGTTTTTAATTGCGACGTTTTACTTCACTTTTATATTTCTTGCAACATTTAAAGTCCATGCCGAGAAAATGCAAAAATTTTTAAACTCATTTGTTTCTCCATAAGTGTTAGTTTCAGCCTATTACAGTAATTTATAATTTAATGCTTTATATAAATTCGTAGCATTTATATAAATTCGTTGCATTTATATAAATATTAAGGATCAGAACGGGCTAAAAATTATATAAAGCCCATTATAATGATTTCATTTTTATTCTTTAAGCATTAATTTAATTTAAATCATTAGTAATCAACTAAATTTTTTATTCGGCTTGGTTAACTGATTAATAAAAAGCCCTCAAGTGTTCTTTGTCCAAGGGAAGGGATACCTTCGTGGAGGATATTTCTAAGAGAAACTGACTCGCATTTACATCACATCGTTAAGAACACGAAAGCCTCCATTCAACCCAATTATTCGGAAGAGTAATGAACCGTTCGAATTAGCAGAGTTCAGAAGTTTCATTCACTTAACTACTGGTGTGCAAATAAGTGTTTGATAGCAATTATTTCTTAAGAATCTTAATTATAATTAAAAAAATCTTCTTAATTAGGTTTCTATTTTGATAAAAACGTTAATTAAAGATTTGCATAATTTAATTCAGTTACTCTTTCAAAACCTAGATTATTTACTATCAGTATTTATCAATATTTGGGATCCCCTCAAAATATTGGCAAAAATTACTTTTTTTTTTCAGTCTCTGATATCAAAAGTTTAAAAATTAAGCTTGTGGATGGTTTTGCCCGCTGCATTTGTTTTAATTCAAGGAAATAAATAGGTAGTTTGATCATTTGATCTTTTTTTTTTTTTTTTTTTTTTTTTTTTTTTGTAAACTCCTTTACTATGAGAATCAGGAATTCTCTGTTTTCGAGATCTTGAGAGAACTGTTTTGTAATCTTTAAGTGTAGAGGTTTGGAGGAAACGTTTTCGGGCTTTCATAGTAGACTCGTACACGTTTTTATACGCTTCCTGCAAAATTTTACCAATTGTAAGCCAATCTGTATTTTAATCTGTAAGAACAATTGGGGAATCTTCTCACCCTTAGAATTTTCATTTATGTCCATTTGTTGTCTTTGCGTGATTTGTTTGGTTTAAGATCTTAAATTTATTACTTTGCGGGATTTCTGTATTCGTAGAAGTTCTTGGCTATCTTCACGTTTTAGTAGCAGTAATCCATTGGTTATTTGAGTCCTTTTCAGTAGAAGAATTTGTCTGAGGGGTAGGTGTGCTTAGTAATTCGTTAGTAATAACTTTTGAAAGGTTGGGAAAATCATTTTTATATTTATCGACGATTTCCTGAGCATTTGGTGTTTTAATCCTTCTAGCTTTTGGAGAAGCAGTGCTGTTTTGCTTATAGCCTAGGGATTATTGCTTGCCTTTTCAAGATCTATGCCGAAGGTGGGTATATCAGATTTGGAAGAAATAACTGATTCACTATCCCTATCCATGTAATCGTTAGTTGCAGCATGCAGGAATTGTGTCCCTATCTTGAAATGAGCGAACTGTATCTTATACAGTTCGCTCATTTCAAGTTCACTTATTGGTCAATTTTACACGAGAAATGGTGAACAATAGTCAGTAATAAACAATAAAGAATCTCCAATATTTTTTTTTCTTTCTGGAATATCTTTGTGAATTTTGCAGCTAAAGGCATGAAGCGTTTTTGTTTTAACTTACAACAACAGGAATAGTATTGTACAAACTTGACTTTTTTTTTTTTTTTTTTTTTTTTTTTTTTTATTCTTCTTGGACTTTATAAAATTTTATGTTTGCAAAAGGTCTCATTGGCATGTTGAAACTGTTTCCACAAATTCTTCTGTCCCGTCTTAAGAATTTTTATAATTGGAAGTATTTGTCCAGAAACAGTCGTAGATACAGTCTATAATCACCACTTTCGAGTACCATTTATACAAATTAAGGCAATTAGATTTAAATACTTCTGTGAATATCCATGAACAATTTGGAACTGTTAACAACTCACCTGAATTATATGACCCATTATGAGATATTTAGTCATTTTACAAAATAACAGCAAAACACTAATTAAGAAGTCAAACAACAAAAATCAGCATTATATTTTCACATTTGAAAATATAACGCTGATTTTTGTTGTTTGACTTCTGAATTAGTATTTGTTCGGCGTGTTATTGTGGCTTAATTAACAACAAAGCAATCAGAATATTTCAACTTTTCGTGATATTAATCATTGCTATCATGCTTTAATGTTGGTTCGTTCAGCGCAAATTATCCATATTACAAACTGATCTGTTTGTCATTTCACGGATGCTTTCTTGAATATTCAGAGGCCATGTATTTTATTCTAATCACACAAATGGAATTCGAACGTCTATTTAAACAGGCACCTTAATCAAATTTTTATTCAATCCCATTATTCCGAAAAACGAAACGAAAACCAATTCCTTTTTTCCATTTTAGTCAATCAGCCCACAAAATTTAAATATCATTTTTGATGCCTGAAAAGGCTAAATTAAGATATATGGAGTTCTTAAAATTATTGCTTGACTTAATGTATATTCAAAGATTAGATACAGATTTTTAATTTTAGTTAAAAATAGGAGTCAAACAAGGTAAACTTTTATTTTGTTCTAGTTTTCTCTACGTGATAAAATTTTAGGTGAACTCTGTAAAAAAATAAATATATGTATATATAAAACCTTTTTGACCGAATTAGTAAACTAAAAAACTTCATCTCTATAAGATTACAATTTTAAGATACGATTAAAAATTTTAAGACTAGATTAAAAATTAGAGGATTAAAATTTTTTCTAGACCGCCTGTAAAAATTTATCAGGAAATATACTTTTCCTTATGCGAATCTACTTATGTGAACTTTTCATATATTTCTTTCAAACTCTAAAATTTTGTTTTGTAAACACAAAAATTTTCAATTTACATTTATAAAATGCTAAAATCTCTAAATTTCTTTATTACGAAATATTATTTTTTACAACGATACGTAAAGCATATGTCGGTGATACAGTCATCCCTACCAGTGCACTAAACGTCTTAGCCGGTTTTTCCCCTCTACCTCGTTGCATCAAGGAATACTGCCATAGTTCAGACACTTAGACCGCGATGGACTGTAACGGTGTGCAGTGCATACGATTATAGTCCATCATGGCATAATGGTGTGCAGTGCACAGTGCATTTCTATGGCATATATAATAAATATGGCTGTACATTTAATAGTGTGCACTGTACATCATTATGCTTCAATGGGACAGGGAATGCATCAGCACTGACTACGAGCGCAGTAGCCCAGCAATGCTCTGTCACCCAGCAGAATTCGATCTTGATACGAAACTGAAAGCTCCATAAACTTTCGAATCATATGCGGTATATACTGAAAGATCAGAGAGGGAACAGGCCACAGATTTTGGCTTTTGTGTGATGCGAGGCACAAGCAGTGAGCACGAAGACTAAATTATGTTATTACAGTGTTTCAGTCTGAGCCTGAAACATTTAGAGAAGTAGTTGACTACATCATTCTATTTGCCATGAATTAACCATGTAATCTGACTTCGCGTGAAGTCTCCAGTCTATACGGGGTTGGAAAAGAAGGAATATCGTAATCAAGGAGATCCAGAGAATGCTACTCTCTTTGCCGGCAGCTCCAATGTGTTTGTGCTTACACGGACACGGACATGAAAAAGCAGATGAGATTTCCAAATTGGCAGCAACGGACGAATGTACGCGGACACTGTACATACCATGCCCGAAGTCGCACATAAAAGCGACCACTAGGGCCCTTTTCATGGAACAGTAGCAACATTTGTGGGACAACGACGACAAGTAAGAGAGTATATAATTACCTTAACAAGATCAGAGATAAATTATGTAGTGGTACTTCTGAGCTGGCGCAATTTCTGACTGGACATAGCACATACATAAGCTACTTACTTCGTTTTAGCTTCCGAGACAGTACGCCATGCATGTGGAGGCCTTGGAGACCCTTGACCATTACACTTTTAACTATCCAGAAACAACTGCTTATCACCATCGTATTCCATCAGCTGAAAATAAACACCTATGAGCAAATAATATTTGCTGCAAAACATGCGTGTTCAGACGTATACAGAAATACACTAAAATAGATCTTGGAATTTCCAATCGAGTAAGCAACTAGACAGCGGTCTACCACAGCTATGATCAGCAGCAATCAAAAATCGTTAACGTGAGCGGACAAACTGCGAAGTTATTAATTATTATTTACGTGTTTCGCCCTGACGTACTAAACGAAACGAAGGGACGCCTTCGTGGATGAATTTATAAGTGAAACTGGCTTGTATTAACGCGTTACAAATGGGAAAACCACGAAAACGCCCATGCACCCAGCCCGTTCGTGGGATTCGAACCTCGGACCTAACTACCAGTTCGCTTTACAGGGGGCTTTACCGCTCGACCGCTGGTGGGCTCAAACCGCCAAGTTATCAGAGAAAAGAAATGCCGTGAATTTGAAAAAATGCATAATATGCATATTTTTAAGAGAGTGGTATATCAGCACACTAGACAACTTTTCAAGTTCTGATCGAACTAATCTTTCGAAAATAAATTCTGCATAACAGTATTAATATATGTACAGTAAATGTTTAAAGTGCATTAGTATTTGAATACGAGTATAATAGTAGAATATAGGAATTGTCCTAATATTATAATTGTATTGTATCGTCATATGTATGCACTTGTACTAGTACACTAGTGTTTTGGTTTTGCATATTATTTTTAAACGTTTATCTAATGAATTATATCATATATTGAGCATATTATTACAAGCATTATATTAATTGTATATATGTTTATTGCCACGTATCTATTTTTAAATGAGTACAAGTATGTTTGCAACAGTTCTGTATTTCGAGACAACAGTAAAAGAAAGCTATGTTTTTTAGTCAAAAGAACAGCACATGAACTACCTTTAACTTAATATTTGAAAACAAAACAGAATGCTTTTAGCCGCATGGCTGACTGCATTCCTTACACTGTACTTTCGCAGCGCTTCAATATAAGGCAGCTCCCTGCATCCGGACTTGTGAACGAAAACTGAATCACTGGCAAGGCTCAAACAGGTTCATAAGTGTTATACCCAAGTGGACCAACTGCTCTGACGGTGGAATAATTCAAAGTGTTTTCCAAATCTAATATAAACATTAGATAATCCTGAACGAAAGTATTCCTTCCCTTTAGCAGATAATTCTCAGGTATTTAACCATAATCATCACATAAACAAACTTTTATGATTTTCGTAAATCAAAATTCCAGTGAATAAAGTATCTATAACGCTTTAAGAAGTTACACGCTAAACGTTTCATATCGTTATATGCCCAATTTTATGTAGCTATTAGAGTAGGATTTATTATACCGTATCTCATTATCTGTCACTTACGAAATTAAAGATTTTTCTATCGAGTTAGGAAGGAAACGAAGGAAAGATTGGTCATTTTGTCGATTAGCGTTTCCATTAAAGACCATTTTTACGAAATTTGTAATGTAATCATTGAAATATTTATTGCGTATAATCTTTGTAGATTTTGAGCGCAATGATATGGCACATTTTTCATTTAAGTTATTATAAAGAAATTTTATTTTGTGGAATGATAAAGTAGTGTTAAGGTTTAGGTATGGGAATGTTCCTCAAAGGGTTAAAATTTTCTATGAAATTCCTTACTTTGCTTTGAGAAACTTAACAGTCGGAAAGAATTAGCTTTTAAAAGGAAGCCGTCTTTTTTCAGTTACCTTGCAGGATGATATTTACGTACATGAAATCGAATAATTTTTATTTTGAAGCTAAAATAAAGGAAATAAAGTAATTCACGTGATCAGTAATTATCGCGTTTTCCCATCCGTGGTTTTGTGTTGTAAATAATAGTACTTTTAGCTAGCCAGTTGGAAGATTTGCGGTCCGAATTGCCATGACAGCATACATGATTGTTTCCGCTACTTGACTTGGAAAAAAAAACCTAGTACACTACGTACATTGGGATCAAACTAAAGTGGTGTGAATAGTAATTCTTAATTGCCTAGATTTCGTACACTGGTCCTTGCGCTTCTGCGCAGTCTCCACTTTTAAGTAAGGGAGAACATAAGGAATTATCAAGTTCTCCTTTTGTTTCTCTAATGATGTTAGAGATAACATACCCCGCTAGCAATCAGAAGATCCGTGGTATGAACCTCGGCGAGGGTATGGATGATTTATCGCGTTCAACGACTTCGATACAACTTACGTCTCTACAATGGAAACACATCTATGTACACTATTTTGATTAAAATATTTCGCATTTTGCATATGCCGTGTTTTCCTGACCCCTATTTCTGTTATTGCTATTTCCTTTGTTAGACAGTCCAGTTAAAACTTTTGAAACATTTACTGTTTAAATTTTCATTTATTAAATTGTGTGTATTGAGAAATGTTTTTCAGATTACTTTTACTTCATTCGTATGATCGTTCGTCAGCCACTTAAAAACTTTTGCAAAATTCCTCGCAGATTTCTTGCAGATTCGTCTTGGTAGTTTCTTTTTCTGCTTATTATATAAAATCGAAAACACAAAAAAATAATATTCAAAAACATTTTAAACAGCTTTGGATTACACAAACTTCTAATGAACTAGCTTCTTAAGGAAGGGATATTGACTGTCAAGCTCTTCAAATTAAGAAGAAAAACATTATATGTGCATTTATTTAAATATAATCTTTTGCAAAAAAAATCGAAGCACCGTGAAGGATGTGGTTGTTTTTAATGAAATCGAATATATGTATAGCTAATACACATATAATAAAATGATTAAAAAATCAAGGTCATAGTACCTGTTCACGACTCACAATCACTCATTGAGTGTTCAAATTAGTAGTTGGTCAAAACGTCCCTGGCGATAAGGCATGCTTGAATTCGTCGCAGCAAGGAGTGGTAGAGGTTCCTAATGTCATCCTGCAACACATTCTTCCTGGCATTCATCAGTCGTCGCTTCAGATCTGCGATAATTTGTGGTGCCCGAATCTGGCGGCCTACTATGCCCAAGACATGCTCAATTGGTGAAAGGTCTGGTGACCTTGCTGGCCAAGGAAGAGTACCAGCCGCACGGAGACAGTTCATAGATATGCGAGCGGTATGTGGTCTGGCATTATCTTGTCGCAAAATGGCCCCAGGATGACGTGCCATGAAGGGTAGTGCAACCGTCTGCAGGATGGTATCGACATATTATTGAGCTGCTAACGATGTACGGAGGATGACTAAAGATGACCTGCTGTCATAAAGAATAGCGCTCCATACCATCACGCAAGGGCTTATGCGTCGTAGAAATCATTGCTGCCAACATCTTTGCACAGCAGTGTCTGTACGCTGCAGGTGGCGGCTTATTGTTCGGTATGACCCTCCATCTTACCGCAACCCTACAATGCGACCACGTACGAAGTCGTTTAATTGTCTGTAATCCCTTCGATATCGTCGTAATGGCATCATTAGTTGCTTCTTTACGGAATTACAATGGCAGCAACAAAATATATAAATATTTCGCCTTAGCAGAGCGCGCTATTATCGCAATTCCTGTTCATTCCCCCCCCCAATGGCCAATCGGTAAAGCCACTGACCTGGGTTCCTTTCCCATCGACTGTGCTAGCTTCTTGGGCGTTGTTGTGGTTTTTTTCATGTGTAACGTGGATACGAGCAAGTTTCATTTGGAAAGGGGTCTACGAAGGCCTATCTACCTCGTCTTAGGCATACAGACCTCGTGTGCTTTGCCATAAACAAATAAAGTGTCTGCTCAAGCTTAAATTCGATGAGAAGTTAACTGGCAAACCAAAGAATGCAAAATAAATCATCCCTGAAAACTTGTTTCCTGTAGAGTTTATTTTCAAAATTGTTTTTGACTAAGATTGTTTTCCAGCCTTTCAAATATAGAACTAGAAATCCCTCTTTGCCTTACGAAACATGTGAATAATGTTATTAATACGAACACATTTTGCTGTTCTTTCATGAATACATCATCTTCTTCATTGGTATTCTCTAAAACTGAAAGAAAGTGATAGTACTTCCGCATGTTAATTTTCTCCAGAAATTTGTACATTTTATTTAATTTTATTTATATGTAGATATTATTTTTCCATCTTATAAGAATACATTCAAATAAAGAGCATCTGTTTTCTCCACAAACAACTGAATACATTTTGCTCGCATACTACATCCCTGTCTTACCTGTGGCTATCTAAAATATGCCTTCTGATTTCATACATTTAAAATGCAAGTCATAAATTACCTATTCCACTCTCAGAATAAACTTCAAATAACTTTAAACCTCAGACAATTCCAAATTATATAAAGTACCCTTCAATCTGAATTTGTCGGAACTTAATGATATTAGACTAACATCCTAATTAAAAGGAAAATTTCAAACATTGCAGCCTTAAAGATAATTATTCAGGTACTCGCAAGTTCACCAAAATTTATTAAATAATCCTGACGAACATATGGTTTTGAATAATGCATGATCACTGAAATAAATATGATATTTTGCAATTTTATTTCTTATAATAAAATATTACCAAATATTAAATATTTTCTTACTTTGTTTTGAGTTTAATATTTGCGTATTTTTTCTCTCTTTCAGGAAATTTAACTATATTTTCTTCGTTTGTCTTGATTTCTGCAGTTCTAATTTAAAAGCTATCAAATACAAGGTGTACCGTAAATTTGAATACATTTAAGAAATCACATAAAATCAGTGAAATGGTGTATTAGAATGCCATCTGAGTTTATCACAGAGGTAAATTCCTTTTAGCATAAACGGCGTTTTAGTTCAATAATCTTTAATAATCATTCTATTTATAGTGTGACAGTAACAGCCCATCTATTGTCGAAAGTTCCAACTAAAAAATGTCTTGTGGATAAAAAGCATCCTTTTTTGTGATAAGAATTTAAGGGAAAATATACTCTAATAGACCAATTTAGTGATTTTTTTAGGAAAAGTGTGCAAATGTATAGGGCACCTATTAATTATTACGTATAGTATTTTGGGCAACTTTAAATAT